CACTCACTCACTCACTGACACAGACAGACAGACACACACACTCACTCACTCACTCACTCACTCACACACACACTCTCTCACACACACTCGTGCACACAAACATACTCGTATACACACACACACACTCATGCACTTTGAACACGCACACACACACAAACATTCTCGTACACGCACACGTTTAGTTTTATACTGTCTTCATTCATGTCTTCTGCCTTGAGCTTCATCATTCCGGAATGTTTCATTCTTTTTCCATTCATAATTATATTTCTTAATTTATTTTTCAATTTGTTGATTAAAATGAATCGCTGTACGTTCACGTGTGATTTGTTTCTTTGTTCATGAGAGTGGTTTGATGACTGTGTCAGTGTTTTAAAGCTTCATCAGGAATGAAGCGATTCACTTTGATCTCTGAATCAGTCGGCTAGCTCATAATGACTCGGAGAACCGTCAGTGTGCGATATTCAGAACTGGATCGTGTTCATGTTTTCAATGTCTGTAATCAGTTTAGAGCTGAACAATAGCGTAGTTCATATTTGGATGGAGACGATATAAACCCAGGGTTTCTGTGGATCTCAAAACGTCTTCATTCACACTTTCAGTGGAATTTGGAACTGGAAGAACAAACATCTGTCAGTGGAGCATGAAAACCTGCGTTCCCTTTGCATTTAGCTGGTTTTTCTGAGCTCATTGGCAGACATGTCTTTTTAACCATAAACTCACTTCATTTTGATCAATTTCTCATATAACAAGACTTCATATCTCATGGTAATTTGTTTCTCCGGTAAATGTATCTTGGTTTAATAACCTTTAGACAGCTGCACTGGGATTATTCACTTGTTTTCAGGGTTTCGGCAGGTTTTATGAAGGTAGATTTTGTCAGCTTAAGTCATTATTATTATCATGACTCTCTGGGTTCATACAGTATGAATAGATTTCTTATGTTTATTTTTCAAGTATTGAAGCACAATCTGTAAAACTGTTTCTCTTCACAGAGAGAAAGCCATAAACCTGTGCATGCATACAACAGTGATGAAGCGTTTATTACACCGATGCTGCTGCTCCGGTCGAGCCAGGAATAATTCTGATATTCCAGCGGCCGGAGAAATAAACACGAGAAACATTAGAAGAGGCAGGATCGTGTGTTTGAGGAAATCTTCTTCTTGAAATCATCTGCAGACGAGCTTCTCACTCACTTTTTGAGGTATCAAATATGATTCATTTTGTGATTCCAAAAGTTTCAAAAAACGAAAAACGGTTTCAAATAGTTGTTTTTGTCTTGTTTTAATATCATTAAAAAAACATTTTCTTTTTTTTTTAGAAATTTAGAATTAGAAAGTATGATTTGTTTTTGGCATTTAAATTAATTATTTTAATATTAAAAAAAAAAAAATTTATAATTTTAATCAGCATTTTCTTTTAGACAGATTATTTTAATACCATAAAAAAAAAAAAGAAAATATTTTTTAAAAATTCATTGAAGTGCTGTTTGAGAACCGCTGATCTACAGAGAGATTCTAAAATGAAAAACATGTTTTCTCTCCAACAGACCAAACTAACGCACAAAAATAAAAATTTTAATCTACTAGAACATGAAAATGACGAGCGCAAGAAGCAGGAAAAATGACACTTTTTGAAAAATTTCTATTACATTTACTTGAAATTAGAACATTGTTTTTCAGGTTGCAACGATTTGATGACTAATTAGAAAATATGATTTGTTTTTGGCATTTAAATTGTTAATTATTTTAATATTTAAAAAAAAAAAAAAATTATAATTTTAATCAGCATTTTCTTTTAGACAGATTATTTTAATACCATAAAAAAAAAAAAGTAAATATTTTTTAAAAATTCATTGAAGTGCTGTTTGAGAACCGCTGATCTACAGAGAGATTCTAAAATGAAAAACATGTTTTCTCTCCAACAGACCAAACTAACGCACAAAAATAAAAATTTTAATCTACTAGAACATGAAAATGACGAGCGCAAGAAGCAGGAAAAATGACACTTTTTGAAAAATTTCTATTACATTTACTTCAAATCGTTGCAACCTGAAAAACAATGTTCTAATTTCATGACTGATTTTCAATATGAAGGCTTTTTTTATTTTGTGCCATAACATTGTTTTCCTCTGAATCTGGGATGGGTGATGAAGATGAATCAATACACACAAGAGCCTCTCTGAGACGTGCTGGAAACACCTGCGCAAGCTCATGAAGTCCTGCATTATAACAGCAGGACGTTCTTCTGATCTTCTGCTTCATGAATACTGGCACCCACCTGTCAATCATCACACTAACCCCACCCCCTACCCGTCAATCACGCAGACTCCGCCCAGCGAGTGTTGCCACGGCGATCAGAAACCAGCCTGGCTTCATCACAGGAAGTTGTTTGAGATCTGACGCTGGTGTTCAAACAGGTCCTCTGCCTCTGCGCTGTAAGCGTCACCTGAAACAGCCAGAAAACAACTCAGACTGCTAGAAAATGCCACAAAGAAACGGCACGTAACACTGAATTAAACGTGAAATTCTGAAGTGTAAGAACTGTATTTACGTTGCGTAAAAGTAGCAGATCTTTGCAATAAATGTAAATAGTAGCTAATTAGATGTTATTTATGCTTATAAATAGTGGCAGATACTATTCGCACCTCAGTATTGTTGTACGTGAACAGGAATTTTACAAGTTTTTTTCTCAAAACACCGACTTTATTCTCGAAATGTAATGTTTAATCTCAACATTTAATCTCGACTTTTTTCTTGAAATGTAACAACTTTAATCTCGAGATGGTTTTATTTTCTTAATATTGCTTGGGCTTAATCCTCTTCCGTATTGAAGAGAGACATTTTTTTTGAAAAAAGCTTTTGAAGAAACGTTTTTGAAGAGAAAAAAATGAGAAGAAAAATATTTTTAAAAAGGTAAAAAAAAAAAAAACTTTTTTGAAGACAGAAACAAGTTTTTTTTTTAAAGAACAAATGTGAAAAAAGAGAAAAGTTTTTGAAGAGAGAAGTTTTAGGGCGAGATAAAACCAGAGCGAGAGAAATGCTGTGCTCCGCTGAAGGTGTTTTTCCGGTTTCAGCAGAAAAAGCTGAAGGTCAGACGTGGCTCTAATAACAGTTTAAAGTCATTATTCTCTCCGCTCTGATGGGGCAGATTTTCCCATCGACACGTGTGTACTGAGATCATTCTTCACAGACGGCTATTGTTTCATACACAGAAAACGCTCTGCACTCACACGCTTCATTTACTGTATTTACAGACTGTTTTCATAAATAAGAACGTCCTCAGAAGCTTTCTGTTTAACCTTCTGCTGCTGTTCGGCTGAAAACTTTAACCTT